AATCGGTTTTGGTAGGGTTTTATTGTGGCAACGTTTCGCCCTTGACACAAGAGCTTCTTCAGGCCAGGTGTATACAAAACCTTCTGAAATCATGAAATCACAGTCGGTTCCAAACATATTCCAATACAATGGAACAATGGTTTATTACGGGTAAAAAGCATCACTTAACAAGTCCCGTGAGATGGAAATTATTGCGAAAATCAATTGCATAATAAAGTGAAAAGCGTTATGGTGGACTCACCATAGACTTATGTGGAAGAACGGAGAGGTTCGCGTAATAAACCTATAAATCTATAAATCCATTGGTTGGGAATATGACAACACGCCATTTGATTGCATTTTGTAGCCCCCTGGCTAACGAGACATAAACTGAAATGTAACTGAAACAATGCATTAGCAACTAGTTTTTTAAATAGTGCCAGCTTGGGCGCAGTGACGACATAATTAGGGGACGTTCCTAGGCTGGCACGCGCGGAGGGAAAAGAAATTTCTACGGCATTCAAGCCGGCTATACTGAATTGTCAGTTTCAGAGGGTGACCTCTTAGTTTAGTGTTGTGGTTCAATTCCAACAGCGGACGGCAGATGTGGTTTGGATTCTTCAGAATTTGGTAAACCATTATGAGATCCTCCGCAAAAGCTGATATCGACTGCTGTATATTCTTAGAGATTTCAGTCTAAGATGATAGGGGAGATTAAAGAGGCCCCTGACGTTCTTGGTTGCCCTTCGTTGAAGAGTCTCGAGAGCAACGAGATCCTGTTTCTGCCACGGCTGCAACGCCTGAATAGCATATTCCACGTGAGCTCGCAAGTAGGTGTTAAGCATTTGGGGAAATATTAGGGTTCAAACCGACCGAAAGCTCTGCGAAGAAGGCCGTAGTGTTGATTTCCGGTTCTCGTCGCCTTCTCTGTCTGTTTTGAACACACGAGATCTCCCTGTACCAATACACGCAGGTCACGCTCCTGAGAAACCTTCGCCAAGGTGTGGTCTCCAATCTTGTAAGCGCTCACCGGCTGGTGACGCAGATGTATGACTTTACACTTAGCTACAGTTTAACGTCACAAGGTGCAAAGTCGTAAGCATACGCCATCAGCTTATCTATGTGTATCGACTTGGGGACCAGCAGTTACAACGTGCTTCTCAAGAAAACGACCTTGGGGTGATCGTGCAGGATGACCTCGGTTGCTCAAAAGAGGCTGAAAAGGCATCAAAAAGCCAGTCAACATCTTGGACTCTTACGGAGGATTTTCGGGAATTTTGAGCCATCAATATTTCCGCAAAAGCTGAACGCCTATTTGAGGCATCACGTGGAAAATGCGATCCAGGCCTGCCGTCCCTGCCACAAGCGCGATGTCGATGCACTTGAAGCCCCACAACGTAGAGTGACCAAACTCGTTAGAGGATTGTTTCATCTCTTCTACCAACGCAGACTGCAGTTCGTGAGATCGTACAGTGGTGTACACCGACGTCTGCGAGGAGACCTAATCATGATTTACTTACTTCTGACGAACCCAACTCACCTATGTCTCAATCTGTTGCAGCTGAGCCCAAATACCAATCTGAGTGGCCATTAGCTCAAACTGGCTACGCACTACAGTCGACTTGATTCTCGACGAAACAGTTTCTCCTTCCGTTTGTCCCGTGCCTGGAATACCCTTCCGACTCAAGTTATCCTTTCCCCTACATTAACGCTTTTCAAAAAACGCCTTGATGAAACACTTTTCAACTTACATTACTTGAGTTAGTCCGTTCCACTTGGAGGACGAAATAATGCAAACCTAACCATGTGCTTAACGGCCCACTCCGCAACGTGGTGGTGAGGATACATTCAGAAGTGTCCATGTGATTAGTTTGGACGTAGCTAAACTGGATTAACATACCACATCTGTCAAATGAAGTAATAAACGAGTTAGCGTTGTCATTTCCAATTTTATTTCTCACGCACTTGCTGAACTATAACAGCTCTCTATACTATTTTGCGTATGAATATCCCATTGCCACTGCAAACTATGGTTATGCAGTAGTGTATTTAACTCGGTGGATGTTTGAAATAACGATTTACTTATTCGATGATCCTTCAAGTTTTAATTTTTACTCCAAACATTCTACGGGACTTGTCTAGCACCTGCATTTTTTTACCCGTTATAAAGTATTGCTCATTGTTCATTGACTCACCTACGTGGCTTTTACCCCGGAAGCTGTCTTGCAAAAGCTATAGCA